TTTTTGAGTCCCTGGGTGGTGCAAATGGTTAACATGCTCAACTGCTAACTGAAAAGTTGATGGTTCGAGTCCACACAGAGGAAGAAAGGCCTGCCAACCTAAATCTGAAAATCAGCCATTGAAAATCCTATGGAGCACAGTTCTACTGTGACATAAGGTTGCCATGAGTTGGAATCTACTCAGCTGGTGTGTGGGTTGCTTTTAGTTAGGATAAGTCAAGTAGGTGGAACAGTTGTCCTTAAATCCTTAGGCACACAGAAACAGCAGTGATTGGGAGACAGTGCTATTCTCTCCACAGGATAGCGTTCGTGATTGTAGCATGTGTCACAATAATTTTCATTAATTATTCTCTTCAACAGTCTTGCCAGTAGGATCTTTTCTGTTCTGTGATGGTAAGGCAGTAATATAATCATCCAGGTGACTGGTTAAGAATACCCATCAGATTGCTAATGACTCAGTGCACATCCCTGAGCCCAGAGCTTGATTCACCACTCCTCAGAAAAATCCCAAATCATGCAAAATCTTGTAGTCAGGGCTTGGTTTACATTTTAGATCTTCAACTTCCTATAATCTATTCACTTCTACGTTTTTGTTTCTTTGTGATAAAATTCTCCCAGGCTGTTTTCCAGTGTCTGAGCCTTCTTTCAAAGCTATTCTTAGAAATATTATAGTCAACATTTCCCTCAAGTATTCCTTGTCATTCTGGTATTTACAATGATGGATTCCCCATTTACCTTTTGATCCTGCGCGAAATAGCCTGCTGTACTGAATTGATCCATGGGTTTTTGTGGAGCACTGCAGGCCACAAGATGGAGCTTAACTGTTCAAGATGGATATGGGGTCATGTATGAGGGTCTAGACTGGGAAGGTTATGTTAAATATGGAGTGTTTTTACATTTTTAAAAAAAATCTCTTTCAGGTTCTGCATCACTCTTTCTTCCCTCATGCTCTTGACCCAGAGGGTCACATCCCTCTCTCTGGACATTTGTGAGAGGAAAGTGGAGGCAGTATCAAGAGACATCAGGATCAAGAGCTCTCTGTCTCAGCAGCTTCACGAGGCATTGCCCTATTTCAGCTACTTGCTCTTTTTCCCTGCCCTCTTGGGAGGCCCTCTGTGTTCCTTCAAAAGGTTTCAGGCTCATGTTCAAGGATCCAGCTCTTTGCATCCCAGGTACTCTTTCTGGTCTCTGACCTGGAGGGCTCTTCAGATTCTGGGACTAGAGTGCCTGAAAGTGGCCCTGAGGAGGGTGGTCAGTGCAGGAGCAGGACTGAGGAACTGTCAGCAACTCGAGTGCATCTATGTCATGTGGTCCACAGCCGGCCTTTTCAAACTCACCTACTACTCCCACTGGCTCCTGGATGACTCCCTCCTCCATGCAGCTGGCTTTGGGTCTGAGTTGGGTCAGAGCCCTGGTGAGGAAGGATACATCCCTGATGCAGACATTTGGACCCTGGAGACAACCCACAGGATATCCTTGTTTACCAGAAAGTGGAACCAAAGCACAGCTCGCTGGCTTAGACGGCTTATATTCCAACATGGCAGGGCCTGGCCACTGTTGCAGACATTTGCCTTCTCTGCCTGGTGGCATGGCCTCCATCCAGGACAGGTGTTTGGTTTCTTCTGCTGGGCCATGATGGTGGAAGCTGACTACCTGATTCATACTTTTGCCAATCTGTTTATCAGGACCTGGCCTGTGAGGCTGCTCTACAGAACTCTCACCTGGGCCCACACCCAGCTCATCATTGCCTATATCATGGTGGCTGTGGAGGTACGGAGCCTCTCCTCTCTCTGGTTGCTGTGTAATTCTTATAATAGTGTCTTTCCCATGGTGTACTGTGTTTTGCTTTTTCTATTAGCAAGAAGAAAGCACAAATTCAACTGACATGTTTCCCTGACTTCCTCTTTATACATCCAAGAAACAGAGTTTAGAAAGTGTCAAATGATGCATTGATGATGTGAATGTTTCAACTTTCCATAATGAAAGTTTTTTTTTTTTTAAGTGTTGAATGTTGTTATGGATTGAGTTGTATCTCCCACAATATATGTTGAAGTCCTAACCTCTGTACCTGTGAATGTGACCTTATTTGGAAACAGAGTCAGTGCAGATACAATAAGTTAATATGAAGTTATACTGGAGTAGGTTTGGCCCTAATCCTATATGAATGGCATCCTTATAAAAGGGCAGAATGGACACAGACACTGAGAAGCATGCAGGGAAGAACACTGTATGATGAGGGACGCAGAGATTGGAGTTATGCTGCCACAAGACAAGGAATACCTGTGGCTACCAGAATAGAGACAATGGAGGATCTTCTTTTAGAGCCTTTGGAAAACATTGCCCTGTTCAAATCCTGAATCCTGACTTCTGGCCTCAAGATCTATGAGAATAAATTTCTGTTGTTTTAAACCACCATATTTGTGGTCTTTTGTTTCGGCAACCCCAGGAAACTAAGACGTAAACCCAATCTTAGCACACAGAGCATAGCACAAGAAGCAGTGAGGGCCTTGGTGAGCATAAAACCAGTTGCTGCCAAGTCAATTTTGACTCATGGTGACCTCATGTGTATGAGTAGAACTGTGCTCCACAGGAAAATCAATGGCTGATTTTTGAAAGTAGATCAGCAGGCATTTCTTAGACCAGCCTTTCAGTTAGCATTAACTGTACCACCCAGGGAGTCCTTGGTGAGCATACTCACTGCCATCAAGTCGATTCTGACTCATAATGACCTCCATTGGGTTTCCAAGGCTGCAAATCTTATGCTAATAGATTGTCTCATCTTCCTCCCCCAGAGCAGCTGGTGGGTTTGAACTGCTGACCTCCTGGTAAGCAGCCAAATGCCTTATCCACTATACCACCAGAGCATAGATGGCATGAATTTGTGGTGCCCTTGGTTTTGGTTTAATCTGCACCTTCTGTACTTTTTCTCATTGTGCTTAACAGACAGAGTAGACAAATGGAGTTTCTCAGGGCTGGAGATTGTCAAGGAGAAACAGTAGAAGATATAGGTATTGAAGGACTCTAAGACCACTGCAAACACAAACATGCCACTGAAATGACCATCCTTGGAATCTAACCCAGAGAGGCAAGGGTGGAGGAGGAGGGTGTTATAAATTGGGAGAAAATGAAAAGTAACAGAGATAATCATTGCAGCTTTATTTATTATAGAAATACATGATTCCACATTAGAATCGTTAAGCAAATTATTATTGACTATTACAGAGCCATTAAAATAAATGCATTTTAAGGGGATGCTTCTGGGGAACTGGCTATATGGATGTGTCCAATATATAAAAATCCTTCAAGGTCTACACTTATGTGTAAATTTACATATATATATATATATAGAGAGAGAGAGAGAGAGAGAGCTCTGGTGGCACAGTGCCTAAGGCATTTGACTGCTAACCAGAAAGTTGGTGTTAAACCCACCAGCCACTCCTTGGAAGAAAGACTGGGCAATCTACTTCCATAAAGATTTCCTGCCTCAGAAGCTCAATGGGGGTCGCTATGGGTCAGAATCGACTCAATGGCAGTGGGTTTTTGGTTATATACATATATACATAAATATATATACATATATCACTTCATTGATTTTTGTGATGAAATATTTCAATAATTTTTAAGTGAGTACTTTCAATGACTAGGGAAATGCTTATGAGAATGTTAATTTTTAAAAAGAACTTGGTTAATAAAATCTTTTAAATTGCAATTTGGGATCGCTATGTGGCACAAATGGTTAAGCCCTTGACTACTAGCAGAAAGATTGATGACTCAATTCCGGCCCCCCCCTCCCTGGCCCCCGCAGAGGCCTCTCAGAAGGCAGGCCTGGCAATCTGCTTTTGAAAGGTTACAGCCTTGAAAACTCTATGGAGCAGTTCTACTCTGCACACATGAGGTCACCATGAGTTGGAATTGACTCAGTGGCAGCTAACAACAATGCATAAGAACACTGTGAAGATCAAAAGATTATGGGCATTGATATAAAAGAATAAGTGACAATAGTTAGTAATTATCTCCATTAAAATTTATCCCAACTATTAGACTGTAGATTCAGGTCACTTCCAACAGGTTCTTCTCTACATGTTTACAACAGAGCAGATGGTGCAGGAAACTTAGTTCACTTCACTATGATCTCAGGGCTCAGCGCTGAGAGGTGGAGTAGCGAGTACATCTTATGTGAACCTATTCAACTGCACCTATTTCTAAAACATTTCAAAAGAAATAGCAAAACAGCCATTACTACTTCAGCATTTTATTCCTACTTACTGCTGATTCGGATGTTAGCAAACTCATCGTGGGGAAGTGGCCAGAGCACCTTCCCAGGAGGCTGGAAGTCCTTCCTGTTCAGCCGCATTTCCAGCACCTGAGCACTTCCTCCTCAGGGGCGCAAATTCTTTGGTCTAACAAAAGCAGCATTTGTACCGGCTATCTACAGAAAATAGCACCTGTGGCAAGCATTGAAATTGCGCCCCTGCAGGGACGTAGAGAGGGTAACGAGAGCCCAGAGGCAATCACTTAGATTGTTCCCTCCACCACCAATTCCAGCTCCCAGGAACAATCGTTAAATTGCGCCCCCCACCCCCAATTTCAAGATGAATATACGTGGATTACAAAGATGAGTCCCCTTTAGTCCGGCTGCCTCAGTCAGGCGCCTTTCATATTTGTGTCGCCTCAGAATGTCATTCTGCGCCTCCTCTGGCACCCCCTAGGACTTAACCGGTGCAAGTCCCCTCTTTTTCCCTCCCTGATGTGTCTCTGATTGTCTACCGTGCTAGAGGAAGGACGTTCCTCCGAGGTTAATAGAAATTGCTCAGTGGCATACAGGACACTGTGCCATAACTGTCATACCTTAGACACTCCTCTGATCATTTGGGTAAAATAATATTTTATTTACTTTTTTAAAAGTGAAGGCATTATGATCGTTTAAGTGTTTTATCATTTTCTCTACGCATTAAGCAGGAAAAGTAAAGCATCCTTTTCCCAATCTGCCTCTATTCATCCAGAGAAAATCTGAAGAGTGCTCAAGGCATTTTCTGGTATGTTTCTTCTATTTGTTTCCCACCATATAAAGAAAAAGAAAATGCTATTTTTGTGTTTCATTTAAAACAGAGAAAAACAATATTTCTCCAGTACTGATAAAACATTATTAACTTCTCTACTTCTCTTTAGTGAATAATGGTTTTAATTTCTCAGCCTAGAGTTGATAGCTGGTAAATGTCAAATACTTATAATATTAATCTGCTTTGGCCTCATTTCCAGGATCAATTCACAACCATAGCTTTAGATGCCAGATTATTTCTGAGGGGGTGTCTTTTATTTGCTTTGCTTGGTTTTAGCTGCACCTATTTCCTCAGAGATGCTACAATTGAGATAATTATACATTTATGTACTTTTTTCCTTGCAGAGAATTTGTGTAGTTCATGTAATCAATGAGTTACCTTGGTTTGGTTGCATGGCCAATCTGAGTATGTTAAATTGAGTGTCTTAAATGGGTGCACCAGCGTGAAGCTATAGGGGTGGCATTTTCTGTCATCCTCAACTTACTAATGAGATGTTTTCCACAACCTTGTTTCTGAATTGTTTGTTTAGAACCCAGATTGCATTTTCCTGTAGAAAGAATATAGTGTGACAAAAACCCAAATAATTCCTAATGGGAATCATGTTATAATGATCTGAATTCAAGGGAACATGTTCAGGATGGAAGGGAAGTGCAAAGAGATTTTTCTCTCCATTTGTTAAATATACAACTGGCCCTATATACATTTAGAGTGGGCCGTGTTTTGTTCTGTTATACACCAGGTCGTTATGCGTCAGAGATAACTCAACAGCATCTAACAACCACAAAAACAGCATGCACATTTTATCTTTATAATTTTTTCCTATTTATATCTATTTATACAGTTATGTTAGTGTGTGGAACTTGTTGACATCCTGATTCAAATGAGTCACTTGTAAAAGGACACTTATGGGGCAAATTTGGACACTGAGTTGGTGGTAAGGCATTATTATTAAACTTTTTAGATGTAATAGTATTAGGAGCCCTGGTGGCATAGTGGTTAAAGTGCTTATTAAAAGGAAAAGAGTCCTTAAATTTTAGAGATATCCACAGGTTCATGTGGTGAGTGAGGAGCAGAGGCCTCCTGCCAACAGACACATGAGTGAGCTTGGAAGGGATCTTCCAGCCACTGAGAGACCCAGAGCCAGATCTACGCAGTTAAGCCATTCCTGTTGTTGTTGTGTGCCCTCGAGTCGGACATGACTCATAGCAACCCCTCCTTGGGTTTCTGAGGCAGTATCACTACGAAAGTAGATTGCCCCATCTTCCTTCCGAGGAGTTGCTGGTGGGTTTGAACCGCCAGCCCTCTCTGGTTAGCAGTCCGGTGCCTTAGGCACTATGCTACCAGAGCTCCTGGGCTTATCCAAATGGGCTCTTGTCTTCTGACAAGAAAGAATTGCTGGTAGAGACAGAAGTAATTACTGAGAGAAAGCCTTAAATATAACATTGCCCCCCTCCCCATCAGGCTCTTACCTTCTACTGATCAAGAATGACCAGGAGAGACTTAGATTTTCCACACTAAAAAGCGTTTATTAAGGGAAAGAGAAAGCAGCTCATGAACTAAGACAAAGAGGGACTAAGTAAGCAACGCCTGCCTTTGTCTCCCTGAGCGAAAATTTGTTTGTGTTTTCAAGGGTTTTGAAACAGGTGGGGATTTCCTAAGAAGTGGTGGTGGTGGTTGTTGTTATGTGCTGTGGAGTCAGACCGACTCATAGCGACCCCCTCTTGGGTTTCCGAGGCGTTATCTCTACAGAAGTAGATTGTCCAACCTTCCTTCCAAGGAGTGGCTGGTGGGTTTGAACTGCCAGCCTTCTGGTTAACAGTCAAG